CCACTCATACATAACGACAATGATATTGTTATGTATCAAACTCACAAAATAATATAACAATTAGAATGTCGTTTCGGTAAAAACTTGACGATATTGAAATCTTTTCTGTTCGGATGGTAATTACAACGACATAGATATAATTTCTTTTCATACAAAACGAAAATTTTATCGTTGTGATGAAATAGTAGAAATTACATAATGATATCCATATCGTTTCCATAAAATTTTGACGACATTAAAATCGTTCCAATTTAAATCATAACTATAACGACATAGATATCGTTTCTTTTCATAAACAACCACAATTATATCGTTATGGCTCAAAACGATGATTTGACGATCCACGATCACTCAACATGCCTTTTACCTGCGTAGAACTATTAAAAGAGGTCATCAATTGGGTTGATACCACTCGAATGACTTAAAAAAAGCGAACGGAGATTCTTTCTATCGAAATAGTTTGAAAGTGGTAGACAAATATGAAAACATCTAATATTGTTGACACTTTCTTTTGAGTGATATCGAAACCATTTAATGACATCATTCGATCGGTCTACATATATCGGGGGGCATGTCGAATAGTTGTGGATGATCGAATCATGATTTGAGCTAGAACGATATATTTATCGTTATTCATGACAAGAAAGGATAACTGTCATTATAGTTATGATTTAAACTTGAACGATTTTAATATCATCAAAATTGTTATGAAATGATATGAATGTCTTTATGTTTTCTTGACTATTTCATTCATAACAACATAATTGTTGTTTTGTAGGGAAAAAAGAGATCTATATTGTTGTAGTTATCATTTGAATTGTAACGATTTCAATATTGTCAAATTTGTACCGAAACGATATTCCAGTAATTATGTTATATCGTGGGTTTGATACATAACGATATAATTGTCGTTACATATGAATTAAATGACATAGATGTCGTTGTAGTTATGTTTAGAACTAAAAGGACTTCGAATTTTACAAATTTGTACTAGAATGATTTGCTTTATAATAACGGGTTCAATATTTTTTTTTCTGTCAAAAACAACATGAACATCGTTATTTGAAATTGATACTTGTGAATTGTCGTATTTTTTATGATTTCTGAAGTTCGAGGGCTATATTGTAATTTTTGAATAATTGATCTAGATCATGAAAATCAGTAAAATAGTTTATTTTTCGTATTAAAACAACACCAATATCATTTTGTGTCTCAGTAACGATTTCAATATCATTATGTGAATCAATACAATTTTTGTATTGAAACAAATCAATATCATTTTGTGTCCCATAATCAATTTCAATGTTATTCTATGAATCTATGTATTTTTCATACTAAATGACGTCTACATCAACTATAAAGACATTTGTATCGTTCTAGAAAAATAATACATTATAAAAGTCGTTTGTCTATAGTATTGAAAAAAAATAACCCCATCAACGTAAAATGACTTTTATGGTTCCTTGAAGTAGAAAAAATGATTATAAGAAAATGAAAAGGTTGCACAGAGATGGTGACGTCGATTGTGGAAAAAAGGGAAGTCAAAATTCAATCAGGATTAAATGAGAATTGAAATGGTAATTAGGGCAATAATGTCATTTTATATACAAGGATATTTTAGTAATTTATTTAATTAAAAATGATATATCTTGAACTTTATAAATAATTTTCTACTTAGACGGGGCCTTTTAAATGAAATCCCCTTAATTGAAAGCTATTTTGCGCAATATCGTCTATCATTTGGGGTTCTATTTGGATTGACACTTATCGATCATGACATTTTAACAATATTTCTACCTCCTGCCGTGAAATCACTTTTCCATCTACTACAATTCATTTGACGGCTAAAAGAAAATATTTTTATCCTTAATTTTAATTATATAAACAAAATGCAAAAACAAAAACAAATAACTAATTCTTTTTCCTTTCTTAGTATTTAATTTTTGTATTATTTTAAGTAAAATTAGAAGTATTGTCGTTTTTTTGTTAAAAATTGTCAAATAAAATCAACAAACGAGAATTGTGATTTTGTAGTAAAAGGTTGAAATGCATTTAAGAATGTGAGAAATTACAACAATAGTTACCAATTTCATAGGGATCTAAAATGGTAGGGGATATTGCGAAAATTAACTATTAATTAAATGGATTTCATTAACTAAGAACTATGGCGCATCAGATATGATACTTTGAGGATGTGAACTCTAAAAGAAATAGAATGAGGACCTATTTACTCCCAAGTGTGTAGGATCTGAACTGACATTGCAATTTCCCCCTATAATAATTTGGGTGTTCAATTTGACACAATACATTTTCGCATTTGAATCAAGAACCAGGCAACTTCCAAGTTTCTTCAAATGCACGTTGATGTATTTTCTTGCAGGCTTAAGAAAACTACAACATAATCATAATGAATAAAGCTTATTGTACATAAGTTTTTGATAGAAAGAAATGATAAATACACCCCTGTTTTTTTATTTAACATTGATTGATTGATTTAAAACTGTTTTTTGTTTAGAAGTCAATGAATGCTTGTCACCTGTGTATCTATCATCCCTTCCATACAATTCTTTTGTACATATAGTAAACCTATAATAATAACATAACGAATCTTACAATAATTTACTTGCTTGAAAAATAACTATTAAAAATATTGAATAGATAAATTCGATATTGCAAACTTTTACAAGAGTACATGCGAGTGAGAAAAGGTTTAACGAATACAGATTGTTCAATTGGGAATTGGGATTGAGGAAGAAAACAAAAATCTCTGCTTATTTTTGTATGTTAGCCACTGTATGCATCACGGGTCTAAACAGTGGCCCTACTTCATGCTATAATTATTTCAATTTTAAGAATAACGACAATTTCCTGTACGAATTTTCACTAGGGGTGTCCAAAAGTTCCGAACCGAATCGAGCGGTTCTTCATAAATTAAATACCCGAACGGGTACCCGAATCGAGAACCGATGAGTTTGGGTCGGGTCGGGTCGGGTCGGGTCTCGGGTCTAGACCAAGAACTGAAGAACCGAATAAGAACCGAACCTAAATAATTTTTTTATTTTTTATATTGAATTAATTAAATTATTTTATTTTTTTAATACAAATTAACAAATTAATTAAATAAATCAGATTATTTCATAATTTTAATTTTAAAGTCCAAATCATTTTTAAAACCCATTAACCCATTTTAATTTGAAGCAAATGAATATATTTTATGTAGTTTTGCTGTAATATTAATATCTACTTTTTGGTATTTGTATACACTGAATTAATCTTATTNAATTAATCTTATTGGACGGCTAGTTATTTATATGTTTTTGAATTAGGCTACGTTAATTTGTAAAAGTTACGAATGAAATGCCATTGGTTGTATTTATGTAGTATTGCTGTAAATATTAAAAAATTTAATTATGGTACGGAACCGAACCGACCCGAACCGAACCCGAACGGTTCCATAATTATATTTGGACCCGACAGGTCCATTTATTAAATACCCGAAAATTTTGGGTTGGTTCGGGTATCTTCAAAATCGAACCGAACCGACCCACAGACAGCCCTAATTTTCACTTATTCCCGTGACATGCCATTTCATGTCCGATATGCATGTCTCATAGCTAGTCTTAGTTATTCGTTATAATAGCTGGTTTTACATTTATTTTTTTAAATTCTTCAGTAAAATTTAAAGAAAAAGCAAAATTCAAAAGCTATATTTTGGTAGGTGGCCTTTGTGGCGTTTGAGTCCTTTAACTAAATTCAACGACAACTGATGGTGGTGGGGTGTTGCTTTTTCTTTTTCTATACATTTTTTATGTTAAAGAATGAGGGCAAGTAATCTTTTCTGAAAAAACAATAAAAAAAAAAAAAATTACTTTTTCATATTTTAATTAAAGGCTATTTTGCCCAATATCCTCTATCATTCGGGCATGAAATGGCACTTATCAATCCTGACATTTTGTCAATATTTCTACCTCTTGCCGTGAAGTCACTTTTCCATCTACTACAATTTATTTGACGGT